ATCAATGAAAAAACCGTTGTTTTTTTCTTTTTAAAGGCAGAAAACCAAACTCTCAGAATTATGAAACCAATGAATAAAATATTTCCAAGAGCTTTTTTTCTGAGCTGTGTCTGTCTAGATTTTATGTCCCTGACCCCACCAAAGGAGGATAATAAGTTGTTTAAGAGAATCTTCCCTTGACTGTTGTGGCAGATCTCAAGCAACTCTCCTGCGAGTGGAAAGGTGGATTAAAATATAACCACTAAATGAAGGCTTTGAGACTTTCAAAATTAAATTGTGCGCTTATAGTTTTCCTGGAAACCACAAAAAGCAGTCACTAAGGTGGTCTCAAAAGATTTAAAGACACGAGTATGAAAGATAGGAAGTCTCAGCTACTACTTAGATTGTGATTAGGATATCAAGCAATTATATAATTTCTGTATTAGTTTTTTCTTTCACTTTCTCATTTTGAAGTCTTCAGGCTAAATATGTTATTATGCAATGTATTTGGTTTTATAGAAAGATACAGCCCTAGGACTATTGGCTTTGAATAGACAGTTTAATTTACAAGGTGATAGTTCTTCTAGGAGTGTTAACCTCAAGGATCTGTCCGGTCACTCAGGGAATTAGCAAGAAAGCAGAGAATTCTAACTCCAAGGCCGTTGGGTCCCATTGGTTTGGCACTGTTAGCAGGATCTAATGCTCTATCTCCATTCTAAAAGCATAATCACTTGGAAAGTGGGAAAATGGAGTCAGTCCATACTTTTAAAAAATCTATTTAAAAATAATCTTTACTCTAACAAACTAGTGTGATTGACTTTTTAACCAAACTGACTGGTCACACGAGTTAAAACACCTGAGATTCTTTGTACATAAACATAGCTCTGAAGGGTATACTTTAGTCACTTCTCCACTCAGTGAGCATTTCCAGAGTGTGCCTTTGTGTCAGACACTGACAGGTGCAGGGAATACAGAGGTGAGTGTATGACAAACTCCTGCCTCCAGCTGGCTTTCAATTACAGAGATTCAAAACAAACCAAAACCCGGACAGTTACATCACAAGATGTGAAATGCTCAGCTGGGAGCTGTAGGAGCTAGAAGGAGGGCTTCTAGATCTGGAGGAGGATCCAGTCAAGGACGTCTTTCCCGGAGAAAGAACCGAAAAGGATATTAGAGACACGGAATCCTCGTTAGAGAGGTGTATGAGAGAGGCATTCTGAAGGAATGGAGGGAGAATACCCAAAATGCCGCTGCTCTGGCATCTACCATTTTCATGTGCTATTTCTCATTAGTTCCAAATTCCAATAAAAGTACACTGCTACTTAAATGGTTTTAAAGACACCTTGTTAAGGTCTTATGCTTGTAGGACACCCTAGAGTCTGCACAGTCCTTACACACCCAATATAAAATACTTTATTGCACTTTTAAATGCTGGCATACAAGTTCATCGTAGACAGTGGTGAACTGTCCACAGACATTTTTAGGCTCAAGGAATTCAAACCCACTTCTCCAAAAGAACTTTTAGAGATAAACACTCATATAAAATATTCTCTTAAACAGCCCCCACTGTTTATAATATGATTTGATGCTCCATTGAAATTTCCACAGAAAGCTTCAAATACATCTTGGCTCAAACTTTTCCAGGCCAAGGTTACTTATTTTCCGATGAGTCAGAAGACCATGTTGATTGATGAAACTGGTGAAGTGTTGACATACATTTGGACGGTTAACCATTCTATTCCCCTCAACACCAAAATCATGCCAGTGTGTTTTGTAATTGCAAAATCCCCATTGACTAGATGATAATTTAGGGAAGCAGTAATCCTGAGAAGTTAATCTTAACAACTTGTTTGTCTGGTTGAGTATTTCTGTCTTATGTAAACAGCTCAATTTATACAAATCTCAATGTATTTTTGAAGTATTTTGCCCATGCACCATTAATAAATATCTCAAGACCTTTGTCATCTTTTCCAGTTCTTTTTTTCTTTTCCTTCCTAACTCTCCTTGACACTTTGTGGTTTAGCTCAGTTTATTTAGATGTTTTTCTGTTGTAAACTTGGTGTGGGTAGGAATGTTAGAGGTAAGTTTGGATTGGCCATCTGTGTTTCTGTAAATCTCAGAGGATTGCTATCAAGTCCCCTGGTCTGTGGGACAGCAGTTTCTTCCTTCTAGTCCTGGCCTTTTCATGCTCAGCAGAAAAATCAGTTGCTTTAAGACTGACATTCCCCTGGTCAAGTTGCAGGCTGTCTGCTTGGACATATGGTCGCTCTTTGATCTTTTAACAATTAATTTATTCTCTGTTGCCTCTGGTGCCTAGACCGCCAGGCCTGCCGGGAAGTCTCACTGGATTCTCTCTGAATCTCTGGGAAATGTGAGGATGGAGTTTCCTGTGAGCTTCACTTTTAGGGACAGATATCTTAAGTAACCTGATTGGAAATTTTCAACCTATTTGTGAACAGAGCCTGGTGTTAATATTTCTCCATCGGGGTCTGCACCATGGATTCATTCCTAGCTAACCCCTTCTCTTAATGCCATCTTATAGAATACAGTTCTGGACCAGGAAGAAAATGGTCATTTCTGCTTTCTTCTTTTTTTTAACTGTGCTAAAATATACATAACATAAAATGTACTATTTTAACCGTGTTGGGTATACTGTGCAGTGGCATTTAGTACATTCACGTTGTTGTGTAACCATCGCCACCGTCCATCTCCAGAACTTTTCACCTTCGCAAACTGAGACTGTATGCCTATTAAGTAATGGCCCCATAATTCTACCTACCCTCAGCCCCTGGCAACCACCATTCTGCTTCCTGTCCTGTGAATTTGACTTCTAGGTACCTCATATAAGTGGAATCATGCAGTATTTGTCTTTTTGTGTCTGGCTTATTTCATTGAGCTTAGTATCTTCAGAGTTGATCCATGTTGTGCCATGTGTCAGAATGTCATTTCTTTTTAAAGCTGAATAACATACCACTGTATGTATAGACCATATTTTGTTTATTTATCTGTTGATGGACATTTGGGTTGCTTCTACTTTTTGGCTATTGTGAATAATGCTGCTGTGAGCATTGTGTACAAATATATGAGTCCCTGCTTTTACTTGTTTTGGGTATATACCCTGAAGTGGAATTGTTGGATCATATGATAATTCTATGTTTAATTTTTTGAGGAACGACCATATTGTTTTCCACATTCTTGATCCCTGTCCTAGCCATGTGACTGTTTCATGGCTGAGGAGGGTGAGATGAGAGATGAGATAGACTAAGGGGCTTCTCCTCTCTCAGGGAAAAAAATTCTTTGACCTCATGTTAATGAATCCCTGAAAGAATAAAAGGGCCCCATCAACACTGGGCCCTGGGAGTTGTGGATCTGAGCGTTTTGTGCCTGATGTGACAAGGGCTGCTGGGTAGCAGAATTAAACAACACGTCCTCTTCAAACTTCTCCCGCTAGGTTAATAAGACATCACAAGAAATGAAAGATCCACAAATGTGTCTTACTGTGGACTTCTCGGGTATAATATATCCGTACTTATAAGATGTACTAAGATGTACTAAACAGCCTTCAGATGCAATAACAAGGCCAGATTCTGGGACAGGGTGCCCAGAGGCGTGAGCCTGGCGACCAAACTCAGTGATACTCACCTCCCAGGAGGTGCCACATGGACTGCCTTGCCCAGCTCTCCACCCCAAAGTTGACGGGCCTCCCTCCTGGAGGTTACAGGTGGCTTCCTGCCTTGTGCACAGAAACACTAAGTACCCAGAGAACATTTTCTGTTCTCCAGAGCTTTCCAAATTGCTGACTTATGTCAGCTCCTCTAATAGGACTTGTGCAGTGAGACCCAAGAACAGTATCCACCGTCAAACTAAAACCAGGTGGCTTACCTGTTGCTCCATCTAAAGCATATGCTTGCTTTATTTTTGGTTGTGTGAGAGGATGTCAGACCCACCCCAGGCTTGGCCACCTCACCAGCTGCATCCAGCAAGTTCACTCTGGGACTTGAACTCCCTTGGGTTCAGTCCTCAGGAAAAGCTTGTGTGGAGAAGCAGAATCAGAGAGGATTACCTGAAGGATATACAGTCCCTCTGTTCTTAGAAACTCTGACATTTATCTATCCCCGGATTAAGCCAGATCATCAAAAAAAGGAATTCCTGGCTGACGTGGTCCTGACCCCTTGTGGAAGAGCTTTTCCTGCTGGCCTCCTTTGAGTGATGCTGTAATGTTCAGCCCTACAAAACTCCTTGTTGTACAACCGCTGTCTTCATTCATCCACTATACACAGTACCTGCTGTGGGTGAAGCCCTACAAGAGGAATGGCTCCTTGGACTCTGTGCCGGGAATGGTTTTCTCCTTTGAGTGGTTGGTTTGTGTGATCCCGTTATACCATGTGGACCCCTGTCTGGTCTTGGCCACTGGGAAGCTCTGAGACAGAGCAGCAGTCTGCCTCCAGCACAGGGACAGAACTCAGGCTAGATTTTGTGTGTTAACTCATGTCTGTCTTTAACTTATTTTTGTAAGTTCTTATTTTTCTTTTTTTTTTCATTGCCTCACTTGAGGTTGTTGAGTGATCTGATTTTTGTAAGCTATTTAAATCCTTTAAGGAGTCAATTGAGGGAATAATCATGAATCTGGTATTCTCAGTTGCTTTTAATGTTCAGAGGACAAAATGTATATCAACTGGTAGTTTTCAGGTAACTGGAATATGCTCAATACAGGTGGCCTTAAAACCACTCGTGTTCTGAGTGTGACTAAACTGTAAGCTCTGTGCTCCTGGGGGCCTGGGCTGTCCCGGTCTCTATCTCCAGCTACCAGTGCTGTGCTTGTCAGGTAGTAGGTACTCAGTTAATATCCCCTGAGATTTGGACAAACAGGATCTGTCTGCACCTGAGTTACCCGCCAGCACAGCCTGTAGATGCTCAGAAGCAAAGAGAAGCCAAGATGCTCTGGTGTTTTCTCCGCCTTTGTCGCACGTCAGGGGGACACAGCTGGCACCTCTAACAGTCTTCCGTCTCCTCCTCTGCAGACTCACATTTCCAGACTCCCTCCCGGTGCGGTAGCCGGACAGTCCGTGGCGATTGAAGGTGGGGTCTGCCGCCTGGAGAGCCCAGTGAGCTGAACCTTCAGGCCGAACACAGAGCATCTGAGCGGCATTTCAGAACCCGAGCTTCGCAGGGTTTTAACCGAAGTTGGATGTTTTATCTTCCTCGTTTTATAATTCCTGTCACAGCCTCGTGCATCGCTCGCGACACTAGTGCTGCTGTAGTTAGCGCTTGGTGACATGCGCATCTTGGGCAGATGAGCGGGACTCTGTGTGTGTGTGTGCGTGCGTGTGCGTGCGCCCTTGCACACGCACAGTGCGTATGCTTGCTTCTCCTTCGATGAAATAGAAACTCCTCCTCATTGTGTAACCTCAGACCAAGAATGATTAAATCATCTTCCCAAAATGTGTCTTTAACTGTTTACAAGTAAAACCTAAAGTTGCAGGAAACATTGTTGATTTCACGAAGAGGTACCAACTGTCTTTGATATAACATGTCGGAACTGCAATCTACTTGTTGAAATGACTGACAGTGGCCATGCTCCATATGATAACAGTGCTAGTAACAAAGTGTTTTTGTTAGCCAGTTTAAGTGGATCCTATGGTAACTTAAACTGTTGTTCTCATCCCTCATATGGGGCATTTTTCTTTAACAAAGAATGGTTTCAGTGAAACAATCTAGCAGAGAATTAAGGTCAGAACCTTTTTAAGTAATAGTCTTATTGATAAAGTTTGTACTTCTTTCCTCAAGCTTTTCTAAGCTTAAATACTGCATAGCTTCGAGCTGTGTGTACTATATTATGAAAGAATATGTAAAGAGAACATACAGTAATGCACAGTCCTTAATTTGTGTATAATGGAATGTTATTTACAATGTAACACTGTAAATAAGAAAGCAAAATTTATGGGAAAATTCAATATTATCTTTGTTTCTTGTTTAAATATATTTTTAAGATAAAGGAACAAAAATAAAAGAAACATATTACTGGGTATAGTGTGTGACTCCTCTTCTCAGACTAATAAATTATCTTTTGAATCGTAGATTGGAGAGCCGTTTTTTGTTTTTAAAAAGTTACTTCTTCCGGAAATCATACCTTTATGCCTCTTGCTGTGGTTCTGAGTATTCAAAATTCAGTTTCATCTCTATTTAATTAGGCTGGACACCAGCAAGATGAAAGACGAACTTAGTACATGATTGAATGGTCAATACAGAAGTCCCTAAAATTTTCATTGTAATTTGACAAAAAAATAACCAAGGGAAGGCATAAGAACACTTTGCTTTGAGAAATGGTAGTGGCAGCTGAAAAGTCAATGGTTTCAGTTGATAAATTGCTTCTAAATGTTATATTTAGTGATTCTGGAGCCACATAAGAAAACCAAGACTTTCCTTTTGATTTTACATGTAAGAAGTAACTATTAAGAAGATACTAAAGATAGACTCGCTCAGGGGGAGGAAGTTCCCTGCACCATATAATCATGGCTCTGGGCGGTAACTGATAAAGCCCCAGATGAAATTATACACTTGACATCGATGTATGGGCAAATTATAAAGGAAAGACAACCAAAATGGAGTGGGTGTAAATATGAATGCTTTGGGAGTTGCTGACTTATATTCCTCGTACAGGCAATTACATTTGTCTCGCTGTGTTCTCGTAGACAGGTTGGTGCCGTGGTATCTGTTTCTCATTCTTAATGAGGCTGAGAACTTAGTAAGAGATGGGCTGGCTGGTGGGCAGCCTTTGGCTTCAAAAGCTTTCAAAGACCTGTTACCTGTTGGCAGGGTTTTTTCAGGAACTGGATTGGATCACATAAAACTATCAGGACACTTTGGAGTCTGAAAATCATCTGAACTATTTCACCAGGAATGCCATTTCTTTCATCTCCTTTTGACTTTATTCTGTTCATATTTAAAAGTTTGGGCTTGTTAAACACCCCTTTTATGAAGAGATTAAAATGGTCAGTATAAAAGAACACAGCCCCTCCAAAAACAGTTTGTTAGGACTTTAGTCTCCAATTTCTAATTTTTCTTTTTTTTCTAATTTAAGGAATATTATGAAACCAGGATGAAAAACAAGTCAAAGGGTCATGGAGGCAAGAAATCTTAATTATAAGATCAGATGTTAAAGAAGAGATACTGGAACCAGAAGGTATTGACAGATATAAAACCAACTTTGTTTCACACAAAAGTAGGAAAGATAGAAACAGATAAGAATGTAACCTCATTCCCTAGTCTGGCCTATATCACCAAGACTCTGAAGCTGTGTTTGAAGGTACCCAATTTTAATGTGGATGATCCTAACTATAGGCCTGTATTCTATTTCATTTTAAGGCCTGAGCGTTGGATGTTTGGTTCTCTTGGGTACAGTTAAGCCTGGCCTGGATGCCTCAAGGCTGTCACTGTGATCCTGCTCTGAGTTTGGAAACAGGGGTGTCTTCCGCACTTGGTAAGGAGGCGGAGGGTGTGTGCTCTACCCTAAGGAGTCCCTGTGCTGACTGACAGGTGTGGCAGCCTTGTCTGGGCTCTGTCCTCGCTTGTCACCTCTGCCACCTCTCCCTGCTTCCTGTGTGTCTGCCTGTGGCGAGCGATTTTCTTATCGTCTAAATGCCTCTTCTAAATGTGAACTTGAACGCAGATGCCAACGTCTGTTAGAACTATGTACGAAGAACATATAAACAAGCCCCTGAAGCTAGTCTGAGATGCTTGTCTGTGAGCAAAATGGATGAGTTTTAGTTTATAGATGTAAGGATATCTCTTTTGGTTCCTCAAAAGCCTTTTGTGCCGAATTCCTTATCTTCTCCCATGTTTGAGAGTGGTGATGTTCATACCAGTTACCTGAAATAAGTAAGGTTACTCTGTTGTAACAGATGGAGGGTGTGAGGGAAGGAAGAAAGGAAGATTTAGAAAAGTACTGGAACTACTCTCATATCTTGAAATTATATTTCATTATTGTGAATTTTTAAAAATCTGGTCATGGTTATAAAAGCAATCCATGCTTATTACAAAAACATAGAAAATAAAGAAAAGCAACAAAAAATTAACTCATAACCCCACTTCCCTAGAGACAACAGTTATTAACACTTTAATAACTTGTAACCTTTACAAATAACCTTTAGCATCTTTTTTTTTTTGGCCAAGCCACGAGGCTTGTGGGATCTAATTTCCCCAACCAGGGATCAAACTCATGCCCCCTGCAATGGAAGCGTGGAGTCTAAACCACTGGACCACCAGGGAAGTCCCTTAGCTTCTATTCTTAAAGACTCTTCTCATATATAAATTTTCTGTGCTTTTAACACAAAAATGGGATTGTATTGAACCCCCAAGTGGGGTTATATAACCTTCAATTTTCACTTAATAATGTCATGGAAAGCTGTCCAAACCTATAGGGTTACACATATCTCATTTACTGCTTCCCCATACAATGCTGGTTTAGCTAATTCATATATGGATATGAATATATATATTTTATCCTGAAACTTTTATAAACTGATCACAGTACTGACAGTACATTTTCAGCATCCATTCTCTGAGGCCACAGGTCCATGCAATGAGCAGTGAGGTAAGGTCTTAGCCAACTCAGCAGGTGTCCTGGAACAGATCACTGTCATTGCCCATGGATCTTCTGTTTCACAGAGCCCCAGACAACTTTTACAGGCTCACATCTGCACCTCTGTGCCTGAGGACTTTCTCTGGAACCATGGAAAGCTGCTCTGTCCCTGCACACAGCAGGCTAGAAGTCCAGGGAACCAGCACTCCCAGAAGCAGCTCTCAACAAATGATGAACAGAAGTTGTTGTATAAATATACAAGGAGCTCCCTTGCTCCTTGGGTGGGGTAATTCCGAGGCAGGTGTTTCACACTGTTTTTGAGAGATTTTAAACTTCAGTTGCCCCCAGTGGTCACTGACTTATAAGCACACCTTGTACTGGCTTTCTTCCCTTCCCTGTACACTTCCCCACCCCCAACCTATGTTTCCTGGAATCATCTCCCAGATGCACTACTTGCTTTCGACTCCTTGTCTTAGGGTTGCTGCTGAGGAACTTGAAACTAAGCTACATTCTGTTCCATATGCTTTTCGTCATGAAGCCTCGGAGGGCCTTTATACTCTCTCCTGCGGAGGGTAGTCTCACTGGCCTGCTAGTGCACCCACTGCCAGCCCCCCCACCCCGGGGACTCTCCTCCTGCCTGTGCTCCTCATGAGCTATCTTCATCCGTAACATCTGGTGGACATTCTCCAGGTGATAAGGCTGGTAGTACCACGAAGGTGGAAGTTTATGACTAAGTCAGTGCTGACAGCCATCAGACCCCTGGGGGTGGGAGAAAGCTTTTAAGGAGGTGGGAATGAACAGAAGCTGAGCAGCAGCAGGTCGTCACAGGTTGATGGACACCTTAGGGGAAATGGCCTGGAATTGTGTTAATGGTAATTGGAAGAAACCATGGCCAAAGGTGTGTTATGACTTGAAGAGACCAAAGCAGTGTTGTCAGCACCCCTGTGTTGTGAACACATCTACATGTTGACCAGGCTATAACAACCTCATATGACACCTGTTTCCAGGAAGCCATCTCTCAATCCTGGATATCCTTAACATAATTTTATGGTTAAATTTCTTTTTTTTAAATTGAGGTATAGTTGTTTTACAGTGTTGTGTTAGTTTCAGGTGTACAGCACGGTGATTCAGGTACACATATATTCTTTTACAGATTCTGTTCCCTTACAGGTTATTACAAAATATTGAGTATAGTTCCCTGTGCTATACAGTAGGTCCTTGTTTGTTATCTATTTTACATATAGTAGTGTGTATCTGTTCATCCCAAACTCCTAATTTATCCCTCACCTTCCTTTCCCCTTTGGCATATGATTAATTTTTTAAGCATTGCCTCCTAACATTTTTCTTAAAACAAGATGTTTATTAAGTCAAACCCTGACATAAACCCTATAGTTGCTCAACATTGTGAATCCCTTTGTGCCATGATGCCTCATCTCCTTGCGCTACTGAGGGTGGCAGTGGTGGGTCACAGCGTGGAGAATCTACAGAGGGATGATGGATGGAAGCCACTCCTCCCTCCCAGGAACTGGCCCAAGAAAAGGTTGAACCCAGAAGATAAGCCTTTGTGTGTACAATGAATTTGACTTTAGCTGGTAAATGTGGGAAGGAGGTGTGGATGGGTGAATGTCGTGGGCTACAGGTGGGAGTGAGTGAGCGGGAGGTTGGCAACATACAAGCAATCCTTTTACATTAATATTTATTCTGGGAGAGTTAGAATTCTTAAGCAATACACTGCCTTTCCCCAACACTTCATTTGCGGAAAATTCACAAGGTATTAGCCCAGATGTGTATCATCAGAGACCCACAGGCTAACCAAATTGACCAGGCAGTTTTTCTTTTCCCACACACTGCTGTCTCTGAAGTGTACGGCCACAGGAAGGATTACATCGAAAACTGGTAAGGGCCTTCCTCCAAGGCTGCACACTCAACTTCCAGAAGCCCATCAGCCAAGCCCAGGGTGGTTCTTTGTGACCAGTTGTGGAAAGCGGGAGGGAAAGCAAGCACCGTGGTTTCTCCTTTACATGATAGAGTCCTTGAAGCCCTGAAACCACAGTGGCAAAGCCAGAAAAACTGGGCGAGGGTTTCTCTACCTCAAACTGCCATGGGGGTTTCACTGATTGTCAACAGAGCTTCAGAAGCTGGAAAGAAAAGAATCTAAACAATTCCTTTACCCTCTGCTGTGGCTACTATCTTGAAGATCCAAAGAGTTGCTCTTAAAATGGCCTTTTCTGGCCTTGGGAAATCCAGCAGTGCTTCAGAGATAAGAGGATATTGTTCTTCTACTCTCTTAAGAAAAAACAAACGTTCTTTTCCATTCAGAAGTAGTAAGATTTTCATCTTTCCACCCAAGATTTCCCCTCAAACCTGTTAACTACCTGCCTACTCCATCTAGCTAATGCTCACTCTCTTCTTCTGGATACACAGACCAAAATTCTTGGGTTCTTTTTTTCATGTATCACAGAATAACAAACCGCCCCAAACCTGAGCAGCTTTGACAACA